CAGCTCATTTTTTTTAAGAGTTTTAAATTTTTTTAAAACCTATAAATCAAAATAATCCAAAAGTCAAAATAAAAAAATTACCATTTGATTAACAAAAAAACTATTTTCTCCAGCGACGATAGGTATTTAGAAACAAAAAAGTAGGCTAAGAATCATCAAAATTAGTCGAGAGAAACCTGACACACACACACACATACACACATCAAAATACGCAGGTACGCACACACAGAAATTCACACAGCGAGAAGAGAGAGAGAGAGAGAGAGAGAGAGAGAGAGACATAGACATCACAGCAAAATTAATTTATTCTTGTTTGAAACTCTAAGAAACACATTTACATCACGTTATTTCAATACGTCGTTGTTCGTCCCTTACAAAGATTCCTCTATTAAAAAGCAATATATTACTTAAAAATTCATAAAATAATTACCTTTTTGCTGCAAATTATTTCTGCTAAAACAAGCTACTAAAAATTCTATAAAATAATTTCAAACTAAAAGCAATGAAAGCATTATACATTTTTTCTGACAGTTTTATAAATAATTTTTTTTATTAGACTTTTTTGATGTATGGACGAAGTAACTGTAAAAATATGCTCTCTGTGAACAAAATTTGAATTTATTTAATAGCAACGAACACTTTATTCATTAAGAAATTATGTTTATTTACAACATTACAATTGAAATTATCAAACATATTGTATAGTAATAATTTGGTAAGTGAAGTCTCTAAACATGAGTTAAAAAAAATTTTGTACCAAAATTTTGTTGAATAAGAAATTTAAAGATATTGCTAGCAACTGTCTCAATTTACTTGAAAAATATTTTGTATTCTTTTAAGACCTCAATACATGGTGATAATTTGAACATATTGCATCGTAATAGTATATTTTAATTGATTTCAAACAAAGCCATTAATAACTGATCGCAATTCTTGTTGGGCATAATCTTCTGGTAATGGTAATTGTGAAACAAATTGGATAAAAAAATTACTATTATCTTCTTCACTAGATGACATCAGTAGTCCTTTAGCAAGTTGTAAGATTCTCTTTGACATTTCTGCTTGGCATAATCTAAAATCCAGTAAAACGATAGAGTAATGAAATTAAAATAAAGTTGCGAAAAAAGATTTCTTCCAAAAAAAAATATTACAATGTACAATAAAAATATATTAAATGATTTTTATTCAAGAATAATCAATGGTATTAATTTTTATCGTTAGAATTCTCTTTTTAAGAGATATAATTTCTACTTAAAAGAAAGTGTTTGTCGCGCACCTCAACAACAAATTGAAGTGTGCTTTATGAAAGCTAGAAAATTATTTCTTTAGTTTTATTCATAAAAGAAAGTGTAGATACTACGAAAATCAACTGGAAAGGCTTTGCATATCGACTTTATTCCTTTCTCTGTTTGTTGACTGCTAACAAGTTATTGCGTAATACATTAAGTGCATCATATTACATCACTCATTTCGCACTGTAAGGCATAGTATACCTAGTAATTAATTATGTAACATTATACAGTTTAAATTACGTAATATTTTCGACTGACTAATATGGTGGTAGCGTAAGATGTACATATATATTTGGTATACATAACTTAGTATATCACTGGCACAGAATAAAAAAAGCATCTCTACATTCTGTAAAAAACAAATAACATTCATTACCATTCGTAAACAAAGAAGTAACACTTTTTTATTCTAGAGAAAAGGAACAACACGCAGGCGAAATGAATAAAATCCACACTCGCTAGATTCTCGTCGAAGACATGAATCTTATGTCACTAAATTATACAAAGAAATAATTACTCGAATACAAAAAATATATATATTTTGTAACCAATATTTCTTTATTTACATTAAATTTATTACAGGTTGCTGTCTTAGATACTTTTGAGACAGTTTTTGAGTGCCTTTTTATAGATAAATTAAACCATTTCCAGTCAGGTATTTAGTCTGTAAATACATTTGTTTTGTCAACATAGATACAAATGTTTTTCACTCTTTAAATTAAGTCAAACTTAAAGACAAGGAAACCTTTTTTGGACGCCTTCAAAAATTCAGTCTTTCAACTAATTATCTTGCTAGATGAGAACATGACAAACTCCTAGATTCCACAAATCTCCCCTCTGTTCTACAAATACTTCCTCAAAATATTGTCTCTGCAAGTACTTTAAACGTATGCCATACTGAGCTTAAATTGTGTTAATAGTCTCTGCTCCTATCTTGATCTCATCTAGACTTTGCACAACAAATCTTACCCATAATTCATTTTTATTTTTTATTTATTTTTTTTATTGGGTTACCGCGACAGCCCACTGGCCTAGTCTCCGTGGCCACCCACTTACCACCTATGTGTGAGGGTGTATTGCCACACCCATTTTCCAACCCTTTCACTGATATTATACTTAATCCATGGGCACAGAAAGAGTATCTCCAGTGATACACCTTGTTAGCTAAGCTGACACTCTCTGCACCAATGGTGCATGGGATCCACTCACCACTGTGTGGCTTTTCCCCGGAGAAGTTTATCATTCGCCCAGGCTTGAAGACTTGTGGGGCAAGAAAAAGACCCTGGAAATTACTCTGATGGAAAATTCCACGGAAAAACTAGCCCCAAAACAGCCGGGGTTACATAGGAACTTTTCCTGATGAAAATATTTTTTGACAAAACCTGCATTCAGCGGGAATCGAACCCACGACCCCTAGAACAGCGTTGTATCAGTAACAAGCACACTTACTAATGAGCCAATGCCGCTCCTATTATTATTATTATTTTTTTATTTTTTTTATAGTTTTGTTAAAACTACTTTTAACTTGCACATTCGATTCTTGTTTTTTTTTTTTTTTAATTGAGATTTTTTATTTTTCTTTGTTTTTGACAATTTTATTGGAATTTGTATCACAGATAACATGATTAACATGAAATTCTAAGCAAAAATTAGGTCGAAAAGTATCGAGATTATAGCCGAATCCGTCATCAGGCGATGAATGGAGCGCGGTTATAAGAACAGCAGTATGGAAAAAAGGAAACACTTTTGGTTTCATTTTTTCATTATAAGATGACTTTTATAAGCACTGACTACTTAAAAAATTTCATAAGCTTTTCAAAGTACCACTACAATAATTTATATTTTAATAAGTCAATGTTCAGTCAAGAACACCAATAATTATGTTAAAGCAAATGTACAAGTTCACAGCTGATGATCTATGAACCTCTACAGTTGTATTGTGTATAGTATCGTAATTCATGGTAAGTACATAGTATAAATATATGGTAACCCAAGATTTACATCATTATGAATGGTAAACATACTGTTAAGAATTACGAAAATAGTAAGTAAAATGTGCAACGATGATATGATTTAGGAAATGCTCATATGGTTGATTTGTAAAATAGATTCAGATTTTGTCAAACAACTAATTAGTTAGTGTAAAATTTAATTCGTAATTGTACAGGTATTTAAAACTATTTATTATTAATAAAATTTGTCTGTCTTTTGTTCCTATTTCCAAAGTAGAAGATTTGTGTTGATCTAGGTTACCAGACAATCCCGAAATCGTGATCCCGATGCCATGCTACTCCAACACTATCGCGACCGCCCACCGTATTTTGCTTTCGGCCTACTCTCAGAATCTCTCTGTGATGTGCAATGCTATGTGTAATATATTAGTATTAGTACTCGTTCGTACTAGTGTTTAAGGATATGTGCATGTGTATGTACGACTGGCGAAGATGAAGCTAAGCGATAAATACAACAGAGCTATGTTGGCCATGAACAAGAGCACATGTATATATACGGGCCGCTTTCTGAGTTGTTATCACTGTTGTGCCGTTTTCTACTTACATACAATTTGTATACATTTCCTATAATAATTTTCAATACATATATAAAGTTATTTATTAATATGTATATATATTAATAAATAACTTTATTGGTGTCATTTAATATATACCTATGCATATCACTATGCCATCAATAAAACCCGTTAGCTTAACCCCCAGAGACATTTTAAGGCTCAGAAGTTCGTCATAGATAAGATTCTAGAAGTCGGGGCCAAGGGAAAATCTTTAGACAGAGATGCTCCTCGTCTTATAGGAGGGTTTCCATGCCTCCTTAACCTACTCAAAAACCTCAGCCACAGCTATGACCATCGAATACCCCTTTCAGAACCCGTACTGATTGTCCGGGAGGCTGACCTCTTCTCTCAAGTGAGTTGTAATCAGCCTCTTGAGCATTGTCCCCGAATTGCCTAACATACCTAAGGGTCGGAATAACGCGCAGGCACGCATTGAACATGTCCAACAAAGCATACGGCTTTTCCACAGCTATGATCTTAAGGACTTCGGACGGCACCCCGTTTTTGCTTCCCTGTACGCGGTAACAGCTACCACGCCGTGTTCCAGGACTTGCCAGTCAGAATTCCGCGCTGCCATTTGTAAAGGCAACAGTACAAGATAAATGATAGTGCTCTGGTTAACAGGCCGTTTTAACACCACTGAACCACCAGATTCATTGACGATTAGATCTAGCCTCGCGGCTATCTCCACCACCACCCACCCTCTGGAGTCGGTTTTCGGCTCCTAAGCGATGACCTTGGAGTTGAAGTCGCCGAAAGGGACTACGCAACCACTCTTCCGTGCACGCGAACGGAGTCCTCGAGTTCGGCAAGCTGCTCTCTGAAGATGCCAATCACAATGTTGAGGGATATGTAGTAACTTATGTAGATCACGCGTCCATACCTGATCCATACGAACCCCTCTTTGCCTCCGTTGTTGGAAACAGAAAACCTATCGCTGTGGATTAGGATGGCCGCACACCCGATCCTGTTTCTGTACCAGCCACGATCCGGTAACATGCGGGACGGATTATTCATAAAGAGCAAGTCCAAAACCCAGGCACTTGCGAACTAGTTCAACAGATCGTGCGTGAGCACGATCCTATGAAGGTTTATCTGCAAGATAAACGCCACCTCCACTGAGCTACCCTAGCAGGCGCCCGGAGCGGCTGAAACCCATCAGTATAATAGGTGTATGTATCTATACACCAATCACAAATTAATTTGTTATCAATAAAGTTATTCTTACTTTTTATTATTGATAGTTATACTCTAAGAACTGAAAATTATGGTAAGTATGATCCTTTTTTTGTTCATAACAAATGGATCAGTTGGAAGTTAAGGTTTTAAATTGGGATTTCAAGTCGTGCTCACATTCATGTTCTTGCGTTGATTCTTTGGATGTTACTGTTTTAAAATTCTATTTGATTTGCTCTGCCACTATCACCTGCAGGTGAATGCATATTGATAGTAAGTATTGTATGCCACTAGCCGTTGGCAAAGTAAATACTTTTCTTTTTTATTTGCTATTTTTAGGTTCTGCCTTTAAGGTTTAGTGTATTCAGTTAAATATTCGGGATCACAACTGCTCAACGATAGAATGACACTTTTCTGATCCATGGACTTAAAATATTTTGAATGCAAAAAAACGTATTCACCATTAAAGAATAGAAACCAGAATGTCTTTTATTATAAAATAAACAGAACATTGTTTATAAGTCATTTAGGAGTAATAGACACAACACAAAAATCGTAGTTCTTTTTAAATAACTCCAAGACAAGTAATGTAACATTTTTTGTACTTATGCTAAATTGTAGATATTTAAGAACTGGTTCATTAGGATCCTAGTTGATCAAGCTCGTATTCTTTAATCAAATAATTGAAAAAACTGTAATAGTTTTCGAAAATTTCAATAATCTTTTACTTTGAAAGGAAAAACGCTAGAGTCTTAAAAATTTGGTAAAATACGTATTTTATTACCCTTTACCTGAACTTAAAAAATTTTTTTTATAAAATTATTTATTACTTTTTGTGATATACTGCTTGTTTATTAAAAGGTCTATAATGTTTAATTAAAAATAAGCTCATGAAAGTCATTAAAAGTAGTCTATTTAAACCTAATTTTTTTCGTAAAAATGTGAATTTTATAATGAATGAATGAAAAATAATTAAAATGAATTTTATTGTTATCACCATCTCGCCGTCGCGAGCCACCACGGGTATTTTGCGAA